TTACTAGACCTCTTTTAAAAATGTCTAGTGGTGGCCTTTGCATTTATAATACATATCTCCAATCACAACCTTCATATTATAATCATTTCTTATATAGTGTAAGGATCCTTCAACAGTCTATTTCCAATTCCCCATTCTACCATTTATACTATTGTTATTGCCATAATTTTACTTTTGTAAATACTATGTACCCACAATTTATTGTTACTGTTTTTGCTTCAGGTGGCCAGTTATCTTTTAAGATGATTGAAACAAAAAAGTCTCTTATATTTACCATTCCATTCATTCCAGGACAACTTAATTTCTCTATGTAGACCCTGGCATCATATCCTTTCTGCCCCTTGAAATTTCTTGATTATTTCTTGTAGTGCTGATCTACTGGTCATGAGTTTTCCATTTTTGTTCTTTGGGAGAGAGTGTTTATATCTCCTTCAAGTTTTGAAAGATAATTTTGCAGGATATAGAATTGCAGGTTGACAGCTTTTCCTTTCAGCATTTTAAAGATGTCAGTCTGGGCCCTCCCTGGTGGCGCAGCGGGTTAAAGCACAGCACTGAGAATCTAAAGCCGCTTCCGCATGAGTTCGATTCCCGCCTGCCCCGGAGGTGACCACATGGCGTGGCAGACCTCTCCTGACCCGCCCGCTGCTCCCCTCAGCAGTGTACTTCGTCGATCTGCCTGTTCTGCTCCCCACTCTGTCTCTGGTGAATCCTCTCACCCTCCGCATCTCTGGCCTGTACCCCAGTTCTGTATGAATAAATAAATAAATCTTTAAAAAAAAAAAAAAAAAGATGTCAGTCTGTTGTCTTCTAACCTTAGACCTTCGGGTCATATAACTTCTTGGGTGAGAAATGGCCTATAATTCCTTTATTCCCTTTTTATTTAATGCCACTAATTACATACTTTTAAAGTTTGTGATTCCACAGATTCTGTATTGTCTTGCTAGCCACAGTGGGCCTTTACCAATTCAATAAAAATTGCATTGAACTCATTCCCTGCTTGCACTGAGACTCACCTCCCACCTCCCCAGTGTACCAGGAGCTGCATCTTGTGTCTTCTTGGAAGCTCCTGTCTGTGGACTGCAGGGATTTTGTTGCTTGGCGACCATAGCTCTCTGCTGGGTTCAACAAAATTTATAGTTTTATAGATTACCTAGTCATCTCTTAAGCTACTAATCATGTGGTAATTGTGCTCTTCTCACTCTCTCCATCTGTGATGGAAGCCAGAAGTCTAAGTTGTCTTCTTTTTCACTGTTCCTTTCAACTCCTGACTTGCCCTCTGAGTCTTTCTCTTACTTGACACCCTTCCAGTTTAGCTCCCTGAATTATTTCTAGCTTGGGTGCTTTTTCTGCTTCTCTTTCCCTTCATGTAAAAAACATCTGACAAAGAGAAGGGACAGAGGTTTGTGATCTTTAACCATGTTAGGGACAGCTCAAAATAGTCCATGGAGCCCTGTTCCCCGGGGTGAGCCTGAGGACGGGGGAGTAACTCTGGGAGCTGAGCTCTCAGCACTGTGCTCCTGGCTTGGCCTCATTCTTCTGTGCTAGGAAACGGAACTGAGTATCTGTTCCAGCCATTATTGAGGAATAAAAATCAACCTGATCAAAGCATTTCTTGGAAGATTAAAAACTGCCAAGGGACAGACTGACACAATCTCTTGGAGGCAGTCTATTGGGGTTCACATTCCCGTGTGGTCTTGGATAAGTCCCTTACCTTTCTGTTCCCGTTTCTCTATCTGTAAAATGAGAATAATAATAGTCCTTACCTTACGGGATTGTTAACAGAGCTAAAAAGAGTTAATGTATGCAGAAACACTTATAAATGTGACCTGTACAAAATCAGCTCTGTAGAATTGTTAAATATTAGGGCATGCTTCCTATAATTCAGAAATGTGTAGAAGAAAGCAATTTCCCCCCCCTCAGAACCCGTTGCAATCAAAACAGCTAATGTTTATTGAGCATCTCCGAAGTGCCCACATCCTATCCTAAGCATCTTACATGAGTTATAGCAGGTAGGGATTGATTGAGTTAAAATAATCCTATTTGGTAGGCAAGGAAATCAAGGATCAGAAAAGTTAAGTGTTTTACACTTCCGCTGGATTGGTGCAGAGTTGTGTTTACAACCCAAGAGAATCTGACTACAGTGCCTGTGCTCTTAACCACTGCACTTGGGCCCTCCCACAAACTGGCTTGCTCGCTTGTAAAATAATGGGAGAGCAGCTTGCTGTGTTTATCTCACAGGGTTGTGTTGCCATCCCAGTAAGGAGAGAAGAGGCAGTGCTTTGGGTATTTGTACAGAACCCGGGAGCCTTGACAGGGAAACCTGAATGTGTCATGACTTCACACCTCCATCTCTCTGCACTTCTCCTCCCCTCTTTTCTCTGCCTGTTGAACTGCTTTCTGCAAGGCTCGCATATCAGTGCCCAGATTTGAGTCTAACAAAGGAGGGATTTAAACGGCCATGACACATCAGACTTGTGGTTTGAAATGATGACTGACTGCTTTGTGGAGAATTGAGATGCTGGAGGTGAGTAGCGAGAACCCAGGTGAAAAGCTTCTACAGGAGCCAAGGGAGATATGGTGATGGAAACAGACAGGCATGGTGGGTTGGAAAGACATTCAGGCTAATAGTCACGGGACGGAGGTGTATTTAAATATGGCAGGGAAGAACAGGGAGGTTCTAAGGATAACTCCTCGTTGCTGACTTGTTCTCAGATGTTTGTTCGATGAAGGGTCGAGCGTTCCCAGGAGCATCTCCGACAGACTCTCCCCCCTCCACCCCCCACTTCCCCATGAAGCCTCCGGAGCGAGGAGCACAGGTGGAAAAGGGAGAAGGAAGGGAATGGGCCTCGAGTCCTGGCCCAGGAGCTGCTAGATTGGACACTTCTGCCGCTGGTCTGAGCCAGGAAGCTCCGCGAGGGGGGCAAGCGTTTCCCTTCTTGGCAGTTTCAGCCTCGCCTCTCCACCCCGCGCGGGCCGGGCGTGCAGCGCCCCCCTCAGTACCCTGGAGCCGCTGGCTCCTCGTCGGCGTCTGGGCGCGCGCAGCGGCGGCCCACCCCTCCGGCCCTGACCCGCCCCGTCTCAGCACCCACCCCGCCCAGATCGCTGGAAGTCTGGGCGTCGGCTCTGCCCAGACCCGGAGCCAGGAACTAGGGGCTGCTGGGTGAGTTTCAGGGTCGGGGGTCCTCTGCCGCAGTGCACCTGCCCTGCGGGGTCGCACCGGGTCAGTGCCTTCCCCTCCGGCGGGTCCCCAAGCCTCTCCCGAGTGCGCCTTCTGGAGCTGTGCGCCCGGCAAGTGTGGCGCGGGTACCCGGGAATCAGGGTGGGGGCTCGTCGCTTCCGAGCTCCCCGGAGTGGGAGCGCAGCAAGTGTGCGTGGGCCCAGAACCCACGTGTGTCCCCGCAGCGACTCTGCGCCGGCGGGCGGGGCGCAGCAAGTGCACCCGAGCTTTCCGAGCGGGGCGCGCGGGTGGCTGAGGGCGGGCGGGCG